CAAAGGAGCAAAGACTATGCATTGGAGCAAAGAAAGTTTGTTCAATAAATGGTGCTGGGAAAACTGGGTCGCTACATGCAAAAGAATGAAGCTTGACCACTACCTCACACCATACACAAAATCAACTCAAAATGGATTAAAGAACTAGACATAAGACCTGAAACCATAAAATACATAGAAGGAAATATAGGCGAAACACTACGGGATTTGCACATCAAAGAGCATCTTTACAGACACATCACCCAAAGCAGTGATAGTGAAGAGAAGATAAACAGCTGGGACTACATCAAATTAAAGAGCTTCTGCACAGCAAAAGAGACAATAACAAAAACAAAGAGAAACCCCACCACTGGGAGAACATTTTGCACCCAACACTAATGATAAAGGACTGACACAAAAATCTGCAAAGAGCTGATGAGACTCAGCAACAACAAAGAAAATAATCCAGTCAAAAAATGGGCAGAAGAGCTAAAAAGAAACTTCTCTGAAGAGGAAATGCAAATGGCCAACAGACATATGAAAAAATGTTCAACATCACTTGTATCAGGGAAATGCAAATCAAAACTACCATGAGATACCATCTCACACCAGTGAGAATGGCACATATTAAAAAACTAGCAACAACAAATGTTGGCGAGGATGTGGAGAAAAAGGAATCTTGTGCACTGTTGGTGGGAGTGCAAACTGGTCCAACCCACTATGGAGAGCTGTGTGGAGATTTCTGGACCTACTAAACATAGAGCTTCCATATGATCCAGCAATTCCACTCCTAGGTATTTACCCAAAGGACACAGAAACATCATTCCAAAAAGCACCTGCACTCCTATGTTTATAGCAGCACTGTTTACAATAGCTAAGCTTTGGAAACAACCCAAATGCCCAAAATAGATGACTGGATCAAGAAGATGTGGTACATATATACCATGGAATATTACTCAGCATTCAAAAAAGTAAAACACATGCAATTTGCAGCAACATGGATGGCGCTGGAAGGGATCATGCTCAGCGAAATAAGCCAAAAGAAAAAGAAAAATACCGGATGGTCTCACTCATAGCAGGAATCTAGAAAACTTAAATAAGGGACCAGGAAAATGAATATAAAGAAAGTGGAAAATCAAAATCAACAAAAAACTATGAACCAGAGACACTTTTTGGGGGGTGGGGGCGGGAGGGGAAGGATGGGGTCAGAATGGGCTTTGCAATTGTATGGGGGAATAATAAAAATAAAAAAATTTAATATAAAAATAAATAAAATAAATAAATAATAAATAGGGAAGACAATTCCCCTGTAATTTATGGGGATGCTCAGGATTGATTAACACTGCTGGGGAATCTCAAATAGGTTAAGGTTAAAGCCTGCCTAAAAATTCCAGATGCTAAAATTGGCACACATGCCTACAAATCAGAAGCATTATGCTCAACGTGAAAAGCAAACATATATGAGTTGTTTTTGTTCATCTTTGTATAATTCATAATTTTAAGTCTTTTGCACAGCTACCGGATTATTTTATATTGAAAATTAGATGGGGCATTACTTCTACTTTTCATTTTTTTAAATTTTTATTTAAAATATGAATCTAGTTTGTAAGTAAAAGAGACTTAATTTTCTGAGTGCTGACTGTTGGCAAATCCTGTAATATACAGAGGATGAAGGAGAATCTGAGACCCTTAAAGTATTAGGGAAAGAGACAGTATTGCAATGTAATGGGCTTAGGGCCCTTTTTTTTACATTTACATCCTATTTCTCATTAGGAAAATTTATCTTCTCCTTCCCTTTAATGTATGAAATAAGAAGAGAGCTCCATGGTTAGAATGAATAAAATGATGAGTGCATTTTTATTTTGCAAAGGTTACCAAGTGGAAATAAGCAGCATGGCTATCACACAGGTTCTATTGCCCCAACAAAATGTGCAGATTACAGAAGGTTTCAGAAGCCAGCTACACAGCACTGAAATTCCTACATTGTAACACACTCAGGAAATTGTTTTCCAAAAATACAGCATAGTTATTCCTTAATAAGTACATATTCTTTTACTTTCATTCTTTCTTGCTTCCTAAAAAGATCAATGGCTTTGGTGAACTCCCAGGTTCAAATTCTGTCCCTACCATTTACTAGCAATATAAACTTCCTAACTTCTATTTTCTTAATCTGCTAAATAAGGGTAATAACACTGCCTGGCTGTGTGGTTATGAATCTTAAATAAGAAATGTGTCTAGCACAACAGCTGGCACTCAATAAATATTAGTTTTCCTTTCCACTGGATTATAACAATTTGTTTTATCACTTCTTCAGCACAAATCTTCTCAAATAAATTTCCTTATTTTCAACCATCATCCTTTTTATAAAATTGAAAAATATTGGAGCTAACATCATCTTAAAGATTCTCTCTAATTACAGATAAGGAAACAGGTTTAGTGGGATAAAATGATCTGTTCAAGGTCACATCAGTGGAGAGAGGGAGAATTTTAGCATCATATAGTTCTTGAGTTAATGTTTATTCCCATATTTTTGTGCCTCCCTACAGATAGTTTTCTAATTCAGAAAAGATTAAAAACAATTCAACCTTAAAGAAGTAGCATATTGAGAATTTGGGCTTTCATTTTTGCATTATATTTTTGTTGGTCTGTCTATTTGTATTGGAAAGTATGAGAAGCTAGTTCAGAAACCATTTTTAGACTCCAAGGTAACACTGCTGACTCAGAATCACGTTCCTTTTTCACAGCAGCATATTTCTGGAATGCCAAATATCTTTTCTTCCCGTTGATACCTGCCTATTTTTTGTTTTTTGATCTCAAAGAAAGAAGTAATTTCATAAGAAGAATTGTCTCAAAAACTAATAAAGAAGTCAAGCTTCCAAAACAATGACAGGGTGGGAGACACTGCAAAGCTATTACTTAACCAAATCCATTAAAATGGCATTTCTTTTAACTAACAAATGGGTAAGAAAACTCCTTAGTAACTAGGAATTGAATATTCAGACTACCACTACATACACCTAACAAATAACATATTCTCAAGCACTGTGGTAATGTTGTGGAACAATAATAGAAGATTCCATCTTGGCTTGGATTCAAGAGTTTCTTTGTTGACATGCCAGAGTATCTTATCAGTAGCTTTAGCTATTAAGCTTCTCACAGTGCGAATGTCCCATGGGGGAGGCGGGAAGAACAAAAACAACAATAAAAAGAGTACGATGAACACAACAAAGCAAAACAAGACAATTACAAATCAGAGACATGCTGCAGGGGAGGAGGAGGGAGAGGGATCATACGGAGAGAGGGAGGAGCACAGGGGACTGTGGTGATGGTGCTTGGGTGCCTTGGGGAAGGAAATTTTATGGGGACTCAACCTGAGGGGTTGGGGGGAAGCAAATACTGTTTAAAAAATTAAAAATTAAGAAAAAAAAAAGAGTACGATAAAGTTCTGGAATAAAACCTTCAGTGAAAGGTTTTAAAAATCATGTAGGATTTCTCTGTCCCTAATACCTTCGCCTTGCTTGTAACCATTACCAGTTCTCTCCAGACTAGTGAACAGTAAAAGATAACCTGGGTTTCAGAAGGGCATCCCAGGATCTAGTAAGTTCCAAAAACTAATTTAAAAGCCTGGGGATAAAACACTTGAACACGGGGTCTCCCTAGTGGCACAAGGAGTTAAGCACAGTACTGTGAAGGTATCCACAGCCAATGCAGCACGAGTTCGATCCCCAGCCAGGGAACTGCCCACAGACCTCTCCTGTTTCGCCTGCTGCTCCCCTCAGCAGTGTATTTCAGTCACTCGTCCTATTGTGCTCCCCACTCTGTCTCTGGTGAATCCTCTCACCACCCACACCTCTAGCCTGTATCCCAGTTCTTGTATGCATAAATAAATAAATCTTTTTAAAAAAGAACACTTGAACATGGTCATTCCTGTGCCTGTCTCCCCTCCACACATGTACACACAAACTCTTTCTTTCATCATCTTCACATTTGACAAACAAACTTGTCCACCCAGGCTAAACACTCATCTCTTATTAAACAGCATCCCTTCCAGCCAAAATCACGGTTTCCAGCTGTCTTCTCTGAAGGGGTGTTACCCAATATTGGACTAATCATGCTTCCGACCAAATTGGTCCATGTTATCATTGCAATATTTGCACATAGTGTTCTTTCTTTCCCTCATCCTCCATTTGGTTTTTAAACTCTGAGTCACTTAATTATGTGAAACTACTGTGGTTCGATCATAAAATCAATCAGCATGTGATAGTTGCCGTTTCAAGGCATTATTGGCTAGAGAGACAAATTATTAGGAAAATTGGGGCAGGAGAAAGTGAGCATTTTTAGCAAGTGAAGATAGGCTAAAATGTAAGTGCAGATAACCCTTTGTCTAGCATATGACACAGTGCTATTCCCCCCTATTTGGGGCCCCAGCCTAAGCACACTCAATGACCCCTGCCAGACCATCATTAATCTAGCTGAAGTTTAAATGGCTTTTCTGAGAACAGAGGCTATGAAGTATATCTTTGTATTTCCAGGACAGAGTAGGTGGAAGGCACTGCTGTGTATATTCTAAGATAACATTGATTTTAAATGCACCAATATTTTACCTACCATGAAGAAAGAAAAAAAAAATGCTGTTGATTAAACCAGTGCTCTTATTCCTAGTAAAAGAACTATCTGTGACTTGGATTTTTTCATTCACTTCTCATATCAAATGAAGTAAGTCCACTAAAGTAGTCCACTAAAGTAGTCACATCAAGATACTACAAACTAGGTTGATCCAGATCTTAGAGATGTTTAAGTACAGAGGAGATGTGCATGTCAGAATCTACAAAGAATGTGACGACAATGCTCATCAGCTCATGTATCTGCTGCTAGTAGTGGCTGCATGATTGCAAGCGACACACTCACCTCACAGACATTCCCTGTGAGGCGGTGTGACTGATTAATGTCCATCTATGATTCTCTTGGCACATGGTAGTGAAGGAAAAAGCCCAAACTTGGCTCACAAGTGAATTGGTTTGGTATGTGCATGCAAGTGGAAAATGAACTGCTACTGCTTCACAGCCCTCCCAGAAATGGCACTTAAAGACAGGAAGGAAGCTTCCACTCTACCACTGGAAAGAACTTTGAGCAGGGCATCTGGTCATCCACTTTGAGAGTCACAGAGTGGCCTGTGGTGAGGGTAAAAACTGACTCTAAGATAAATGACTTATCTGGTTCCTTAGATGCTTGGAAGAAGGATGATTAGATGAGGGATAAAAAAATCTCAGGAAAAAGCAGTGGGATGGAGCTGTGGGACTGAGTACAACATGTCAGAATATTTTCATCATGAATCAGTGCTCACAAGAGAGCATCCTTTATGAAAGGAGAATGAAATAACAAAGTTGACAGGATGACTTGGGCAACAAGCATTTACTCTTAACCAAGTGCATGCTCGTGCAGTGGGTTCTAGAACAGAGAAGCAATGGTGGCAGAGAGACAGGCTATATGAGGGCCCATACAGCTTGGGTTCCTCTCATAGAGGCTGATCAATTGCTGCAACCCTTGGACATCAAATATACCAGCAATCCAGTACCATCCCTCAAAGAGGACAACCTGTTGTTTACTTGTAAGGTGACTGCATCAAGCTCTTCTACATTGCAATGGGCAATAGTTCATCCAGACTGTCAATCAACTCTTGGTTTCTGCCCACACTGCCCAGTTAGCACTCCAAAGGCTCAGAGTGTCTGGTCTAATACTCCAAATCCCTCATAAATTTGTGTGAGATCAAGAGCTACACTTTATGGCAATGAGTGTTCAGCAGTGGCAACAGCCATGGGATTTATTTATTATTACCACCATAGTCTAGATCATCCAGCAGTTGCTGACTTCAGAGTTGGAAAGTCTTCTTGAGGGATCTAAAGAAGCTTCACCTTGAAGACACCCAGCAAGGATGGAGAGTTCTTCAAGATGCAGCACATACTGGACAACATACTGGCACATGCAGCACAACAGACATTGATAGTGCTGTTTCCAGTAAGTAGAAGTTAAGTCTGAGAATGTAAAGTGGAAGAAGAGGACCCACTTACCTTCATTCCCAGTAACGCACTCCAGGGAATCTGTGTTTCTCCACTCCTGCAACTTTAGGACCTGTAGTCTCTGGTGTTGAGATGGTGGGTGACTCTATCAGGAGATAAAGAGAAAATCCCAATAAACTTAAAACTCTAACACCTGGTCACCATGGGTTCCTCAAGCCATTAAACAATCAAAGAACAGTTACCATGCCAGCAGGGGCAATTGACCCTGTTCATTATGAGGAAATAGCATTCTGCTGGCTATAGTGAGCAAGGTGATTCACTGTGTACTCTCTTTGTATTTCCATAACCAATTTCACAATAACAAGCAAGTCTAATAACCATGGGCTGATAAAAGCATGGCAACTGGGATCTCAGATGCCACAGGGCAAGCTGACTAATTCAACAAAGGGAAAGGGAAAGAGGAGTCTGGAAAGGTGGTATGGGACACAGTTGATGAGTATTTCAGACCAATTGCACCAGCAGGAGCTTCAATTTATCTAAATAGCCATCTTCTTTTAAATTTTTCCTGGAAAATTAATCATTAAGAACACTGGGAAAGCTGTGCCTAGATGGAATTAACTTAATTTGAGAAGAAGTGGATCTGAGCATTGAAAGGTAGTTGCAGGCCTCGTGGTCGCTCTGCCAAGACCCACATTACTGGGTTGGAACACCCATCCCCAACACTGGTGCTTCAACAGCTATTAGTGGCTCACAGCAATTACCTTTCTCCTAAGGGGAGCCACTCTAATAATTTGGGGGGCAGCAACTCATGCTGACACTGGACAAAATGTGGTGAAATTCATGCTCCACAGCTTCCAGTGGAACCAAATTGTTTCCAGCTGGTCTCCAGCTGAGACCACATCCTTGCTTCGCCCTATCCTTGCCTGCCCTGTCTTCGGACTCTCCTTTCTCCAGAAAGCACTTCCTCAATAAATCATTTGCACAAGAGTCCTAGCCCCTGGCTGTTTTTACTTTTTTTTTTTTTTAAGATGGGAAGCCTCGCTTAAAACAGGGAACAATGAATGGGTCATCTGGCAAATAATTCTCTCAGTCATAAGATGCCTTTAAAAGGAAAACATTCTTCCAGACTCTTATTGACCCAAATCACTCCTGTTTTGATATTAATTAAATATGCTCAGATATAAAGGTCCTTATAGATTCCTTATGTGATTAATGCTAATAAAACCATAACAGAACAAGCTTGTCAATTAAGTAAACCAACGCAAAAATTAAAATTTGCATTTACGACATGTAGTGACAGATTTGTTTTTTTCTGGAACTCAATTGCTAGTGATGGATTTAACAGAATGATGGTTCTATATATAATCAGTTCCTGTATTTCAACTTCAATAATTGTTGTTAAAAGTGTTCTCTACAATTTTTTCCCTAATTCAGGACAATAACTCATTCTGAACTACAAACAACCCGTTAGCAATGCCTCTACAAATACAAGTAAGTATAGTTAAGTTCTCACCTGATAACACTTGAAAGTTGCCTCCTTTGAAGGTAAAGAATGAAACTGCGAAGACTCCTTTTAGTTTGGCTCATCTGTTCTGTGCGCCTCACAAAGATTTAATGCTGCTGTGATTTTTAGCAGTCGGATCTTCTGTGCCACATTCTTCCTGGTATCCTGGTATATGCACCATGAACATCGTTCGAGAGTTCTTTGGTGAAAGTACTATCAGAAACACAAGTGCAAAAACTCTGCTCACCGAAATGAAGAAACTATACAGAAAGGCCTCGCATGATTCCAAGTATGCTTATGGTACACTGGAGATCATCAACAAAATGAAAATAAACAGCTAAAAATTCCTCCTAGAGTCCTCACCCACTCAGTTTGTGCTCTTTATTTTGGGAAGCATTGCATGAAAATAATTGTGAAATGCTCTCTAATCTAAAGTCATATAAAATTGCCAATCTTAAAAACTGACATAAATTGTGGTTCCTCTCAAAAATAAAAAAATGATTTAGTCACTAGACTGTGCTGTCTGCATCCCCACCAGAAGGCACTGCCTTTGCTTCAACAGCGAATTGAAACAGTTACTGGTTTCCTCTACAACAGTGCTGTGGCTTTAGGAGACCTATTATCAGTTGGATTTTAAGGTTTTCTTTTCCTTTCATAGTAGTAAAGGTTAATGGATGAAACCCACTCATGGTTTAAAATGGTAACACATTTCTTTATTTAAGAAAAAAATGCATACTTGGAGCTAACTAGACCTCATGGCATCAATTCATTTCAATTAGCAAGAAAAAAATAAAAAATAAAAACATCCTTTCAATCTGAAGTGGCTCTGGGAATGGATGGCTGGGATATGAAGTGGCTGTTTTAACTTGATATTTGTGAAGAATGAATGTTAATCAAATGCCTTTTTAAAAAAATTAATTCCAAAAGTAGGAGAACTGCCACCTAACAGGCAATTTCTGTGAAATCTGTATTAATTGCCTACTCTGGTACATGAAGGAAAATTAAAATAAATAAGAGAATTGTGGATATGAATTATTTTGGTGTTTTTATATCTTCCTGTAGTCAATACATACAGCCATGTGGCCCTAGATTTTCAGCGCCTATAAAAGGTTTTCCTCATTAAATGACCCCTGCCTCTACTTAGGTTAAGCTAAGTCAAAAGGAGAAAGACAAAAATCAATTATTTCATTTAAAGGACAAATATAGAGAAACAAAACAATGGGATAAAAAGAAACCCTTGAGTTCAAAGTAAGTGGGTGAGGGTTCTCGAGGAGAGGGTGTGGGAGCAAAGGGTGCAGGGGGTTATTGGTGGTGAAGGGTTACGGGCATTTTGGTGGTGGGTGTGGTGTGGTGGTATGTATTTGGAAGAGATATGAACCTGTACTCCTAAAACATGTGTTGTAAACCAACATTACCTCATTACATAAATGAATTCAATTATCTTTACCTCAAAATTTTGTGTTTCATACTTTGGCTGTCTCTAACTCAATTGTGATTGCAGGGATAGAACATTTATAAAAATAAAACTTTTCAAGGAACTAATAAAAATTTATGATTTTTTTCAAAGATTTATTTATTTATGCATACAAGAGCTGAGGTACAGGCCAGATGTGTGGGGGGTGAGAAGATTCACCAGAGACAGAGTGGGGAACAGAACAGGCAGACTGACTGAAATACATTGCTGAGGGGAGCAGCGGGCGAGGCAGGAGAGGTCTGCTGTGCCATGTGGGTTGCTCCCTGGCCGGCCAGGGATCGAACTCATGCTACAGAGGCTGCCGACTGCTTTATAGTGCTGTGCTTAAACCCCTGCACCACCGGGGAGGCCTAAATTTATGATATTTTTAAACAACTTTAGGCATTTCGAGTCAATTTTCTTCTTAGCTAACTCAAAAAACAGCTCCACCCCCTTCCCAACAGCCCCCTTGAACTCCCAGGAGGTCAGGTCAAGGCACCGTGCAAGTCTCCTCTCCTACTTGACTGGTGTCCAGATGCCAGAGGGTGGAGTTCAATCCCTTGTCTGCACTAGGCCACTCTAAGACTTCTGTCCTCATGGAGTTGACTTGTGCCACCTTCCAAGCATATGGGTGCATTTGCCAATTCAGAAGCTCATCAAATCTCATTGTTCAGAGTTTTTATAGGGTTCTGTCTCCACTCCATTCCCCACCTGCCCTCCCTGATCACCAGGCCAAACCGAATGTTCCAATATCTCATCCTTGGTCTTTCTGATGATCAGCCCCATCCTGGGCCCATCTAGGGATTGGCCCAGGTGTGATTGAAAGGGACTAGTTACTAATAAGAAAAGACAATCCTATCGCCCAGGATTAAAGGGTTTTAGTTTGTGCCACAAACCAGGGACCAAAACCAAATATATAACAACATAAATATACACAGGCCCCTCAGAGTGCTATCTCCAGTCACATATGAATGAGGAAGTTTTGGCTTATCAGTGCCAGCTATGTAGCTTGAATTAACTTAAACATCAAAAGATGTTTGTTGCCTCAAGAATACAAGGTCAATTTGTTCAGCAATTTACAGATGGTCTCACAAAGTACTCAACTAGAATCTTGAAATTCTTTTGGAATCCGTGCATCACTTCTGTCTTTTTCTTTTTATTGACTTTATTCTCTCTCATTGATGATAAACCTTCTCCTATGGCAGGTCACCCGTGGCCAACAGTATACACTAGTACCAGCTCCCAAAGAAAGCATGGATTTGAAGTCCATGCAACCAAGTGATAACCCTCATCCAGCCTGAGGCAGGCCCCAAGTTCATGCTGTGCAAGGATGATACAGACAATCCCAGTTTTCTACTACTGGTCTCTTCTCTTACCCTCATCGAGGAGCAAAACAAGTCATCCCTTATCTCTCTGAGTTCTCCTTGGGCTGGATGGGTAGTCAAACCAATACCACACAGGTTAGCAAAGGAAAAACAATTTTGCTTCTGCTGCAGAGATATTTTAAGATCCATGAAGCAATAACATCAAGCAAGCACATTGTCCTTTTCCTGGGACTCACAAATTACATCTGAGAAAAAAATGGGAACATATATCCCTTTAATTTATCCTCTATTCACATCTCTTCTCTCAGAACCAGCACTTTATTTTCCAAATCATTTTTATTCCATTTTATTTCTATTTCCTTTTCTGTGCATGCATATCAATTTAGATGATACTAGTATGATTTTTCATACTAGGAAGATCTTTATGAGGTCCTGGTCATTTTTTGGCTTTTTTTTTTTAAATTTCTATCCATTTCCCCCAGAAGGACTATAACATCTAAATCATTTATTAGTTTTATAGCAAACAAAATCTTTATCTTTTATGTAATTTTTTTTTTGAGCTGTTTAGATTCTGACCAACTCTATTCACTAAGATGAATAGAGCTTGGTAGGGGAGGTTTCTTGCTAATAGCCAATAAAACAAAATTTTATTTGTGCAAAATGATCTCAGGGCCAGGCTAGAGCTTACGGTTAAAATCATTATTGTTTGTCCTGGGTTTTAAACAGGGAACATTGCTGGTCAACTTACCAAGAAGCAGAACAAATAGCTGGTCAACATCACCTTGATTTTGGACATTTAATGGTTTGTACATCTTGTTTGTTGACCTGAACTGGTTCACTTAATTCTGATGACTTTTATCAAAGTTAAATTCATTTTAAACCTCCATCCATGGAAATGCAAGAAGCAAAAGCTCATGGAACAGTGGTCTTCTAATACAAGCATGGTGAAAAACGAGACATACATTTGACTTAATACACAACGGGGCCATAATGTTGAAAGCAGACTGAAGAATTCCCTGCTTACTGATTGGGCAACAGTATGGAAAATCTTTGCTATGATTTGACCAAATCTATATAAACAATCACAACGGAGACAGTCTCCAATAATCTTGCTATATTGGACCAGATTTTTAAACAATCAATTCAATAATAATTGGTGCTCAAAGTATGTTAAATATTCAACTCCTTCAGAATTATTTCTACTGAAATGGTAGCATTCAAACAGAAGAAACAAATTTATTTGTGCTGGTAGCTCTCCTCCCAAGACTGCCTGCCTGTGACAGTGCAGGCATCTCTTTCGACAACCTGCCCCTTTCAGGGGCAGTTCTTTCTGCCCGCTTATGTCTATGCAAGTGTCCTTTTCATTCCTTTCCTCGTTTAACATAATAAACCTACCCTTTAGGATATATAGAAAAAAATTACTTGTGGCAAAGAGGGCATTTTAGTATAATATTTGAAATAAAGTTCAGGTGTTCTTATCTTTAAAGTGAAGTCCAAGCATAGCAGGAAATTTTAAAAAGAGTTAATATCCTGAGATATACTCTAATATTGTAACATTTTATGTACTATTTTGTAGTTCAGATTTTTTAATAAGTGTTATTGAGATATAACTCACATGCCATATAATGAATCTACGAGAAGTTTCTAAATTCAATGTATTTTCATACGCACAGAGTTGCATAGACTTCACTGCAACGTAAATGTAGCACATTTCAGCCCTCCAAAAGAAACCCCAGGCCCACTAGCAGTAACGACCCACTTCTGCCCCTTCAGTCTTTAGCAACCACTGATCCTCTTTGTTTCTACAGATTTGTCTATTCAGGATCCATGTAAATTAAATCACATACTGTGATCTTTACTGACTGGCTTCTCTCACTTAGCGTGTTTCCAAGTCTATTCATGCTGCAGCATGAATCAGTACTTCATTACTTTTTATGACCAAATAACATTCCATTGTAAAGATCTAATGCATTCTGTTTGCCCATTCATTAGTTGATAGAATACTTTTCTTTTTGGCCAGTAAGAATAAAGTTGCTATGACTATTGTGTATGTGTTTTTATTATATTTTCCAGCTTTATTGATGTATAATTGACCAGTAAAATTATATATAATGAATATGTGCAATGTGATGGTTTGATTGTGAAATGATTACCACAATCAAGTTAATTAATATCTTTAGTACCTTACTAGTTATCAAATTTTTGTAAGTGTGGTAAGTTAGTTAAGACATACTCCCTTGGCAAATTTCAAATAAGCATACAATAGAGCATTATTAACTAATCACTGTGCTGCACATTCAAGGCCTGGGATTTATTTCATCTTCTAACTGAAGTTTGATTAATGACTTGGCTCAACTCTTACTGTGAAGTCTGTTATCTCCACTATGAAGCCTCTGTTGTCCGTACTCAGACATTTTCCCTTTGTTTTCTTTTATCTTAGGTTACTAGGGTCAGTGCTAGGTCAAAGGTCAGGTTCAAGGCTCCTCCAGCTGGGTAGAGTTTTACCCTGTTACCAGTGGATGTGTTGCTGCTTGGAGGCAGCTGTCACAGCTTGGATGGTTTACTTTAGGGACCCAGAGAACAGGTGGCGATG